TCACAGGCGAGCGCTGAAGGAGACCCATCTCAGGAGCGTCACAGAAGGCGAGCGCTGAAGGAACCCTTCTTCAGGAGGCGTCACAGAAGGCGAGAGCTGAAGGAACCCATCTTCAGGAGGCGTCACTGAAGGCGAGCGCTGAAGGAACCCATCTTCAGGAGGCGTCACAGAAGGCGAGCGCTGAAGGAACCCATCTTCAGGAGGCGTCACAGAAGGCGAGCGCTGAAGGAGATCAGTCACAGAAGGCGAGCGCTGAAGGAACCCATCTTCAGGAGGCGTCACAGAAGGCGAGCGCTGAAGGAGACCCATCTTCAGGAGGCGTCACAGAAGGCGAGCGCTGAAGGAACCCATCTTCAGGAGGCGTCACAGAAGGCGAGCGCTGAAGGAACCCATCTTCAGGAGGCGTCACAGAAGGCCTGAAGGAACCCATCTCAGGAGGCGTCACAGAAGGCGAGCGCTGAAGGAGACCCATCTTCGGAGGCGTCACAGAAGGCGAGCACTGAAGGAGACCATCTTCAGGAGGCGTGAGCGCTGAAGGAGACCCATCTTCAGGAGGCGTCACAGAAGGCGAGCGCTGAAGGAGACCCATCTCCAGGAGGCGTCACGCGCCGAAGGAACCCATCTCAGGAGGCGTCACAGAAGGCGAGCGCCGAAGGAACCCATCTTCAGGAGGCGTCACAGAAGGCGAGTGCTGAAGGAACCTATCTTCAGGAGGCGTCACAGAAGGCGAGCGCTGAAGGAACCCATCTTCAGGAGGCGTCACAGAAGGCGAGCGGAAGGAACCCATCTCCAGGAGGCGTCACAGAAGGCGAGCGCCGAAGGAACCCATCTCCAGGAGGCGTCACAGAAGGCGAGCGCTGAAGGAACCCATCTTCAGGAGGCGTCACAGAAGGCGAGCGCCGAAGGAACCCATCTTCAGGAGGCGTCACAGAAGGCGAGCGCTGAAGGAGACCCATCTTCAGGAGGCGTCACAAAAGGCGAGCGCTGAAGGAACCCATCTTCAGAGGCGTCACAGAAGGCGAGCGCTGAAGGAACCCATCTTCAGGAGGCGTCACAGAAGGCGAGCGCTGAAGGAGACCCATCTTCAGAAGGCGTCACAGAAGGCGAGCGCTGAAGGAACCCATCTTCAGGAGGCGTCACAGAAGGCGAGCGTTGAAGGAGACCCATCTTCAGGAGGCGTCACAGAAGGCGAGCGCTGAAGGAACCCATCTTCAGGAGGCGTCACAGAAGGCGAGCGCTGAAGGAACCCATCTTCAGGAGGCGTCACAGAAGGCGAGCGTTGAAGGAACCCATCTTCAGGAGGCGTCACAGAAGGCGAGCGTTGAAGGAGACCCATCTTCAGGAGGCGTCATAGAAGGCGAGCGCTGAAGGAGACCCATCTTCAGGAGGCGTCACAGAAGGCGAGCGCCGAAGGACCCATCTTCAGGAGGCGTCACAGAAGGCGAGCGCTGAAGGAGACCCATCTTCAGGAGGCGTCACAGAAGGCGAGCGCTGAAGGAGACCCAACTTCGGGCGGCGTCACAGAAGGCGAGCTCTGAAGGAACCCATCTTCAGGAGGCGTCACAGAAGGCGAGCGAGGAACCCATCTTCAGGAGGCGTCACAGAAGGCGAGCGCTGAAGGAACCCATCTCCAGGAGGCGTCACAGAAGGCGAGCGCTGAAGGAGACCCATCTTCAGGAGGCGTCACAGAAGGCGAGCGCGGAAGGAGACCCATCTTCAGGAGGCGTCACAGAAGGCGAGCGCTGAAGGAACCCACCTTCAGGAGGCGTCACAGAAGGCGAGCGCGGAAGGAGACCCATCTTCAAGAGGCGTCACAAAAGGCGAGCGCTGAAGGAGACCCATCTTCAGGAGGCGTCACAGAAGGCGAGCGCTGAAGGAGACCCATCTTCAGGAGGCGTCATAGAAGGCGAGCGCTGAAGGAACCCATCTTCAGGAGGCGTCACAGAAGGCGAGCGCTGAAGGAACCCATCTTCAGGAGGCGTCACAGAAGGCGAGCGCTGAAGGAACCCATCTTCAGGAGGCGTCACAGAAGGCGAGCGCTGAAGGAACCCATCTTCAGGAGGCGTCACAGAAGGCGAGCGCTGAAGGAACCCATCTCCGGGCGGCGTCACAGAAGGCGAGCGAGCGGGCGGCGCTGAGGGAAGAGCATCCTCAATGGGCGGCAAAGATACGTACGGGCGGCGGCGCTGAAGGGAACCCATCTTCAGGAGACAAATGATAACCTAATAAGACAACTCATAAGCTGCAAAATATGACCTTGAACTGATAAATGAACACAATAAAAAATAACGTCAATGCACAATTAAATTAATACCTTTAACTGACAAGTGAACACAGGATAAAAATAATAATAATAACGTCAATGTACAATTAAATCAATACTTTTAACTGATAAGTGAACACAGAATGAAAAAAAATAACGCCAATGCACAATTAAATTAATACCTTTAACTGATAAGTGAACACAGAATAAAAAAAAAAAAATAACGTCAATGCACAATTAAATGAATACTTTTAATTGATAAGTGAACACATAGTAAAAAAAAAATAACGCCAATGCACAATTAAATTAATACCTTTAACTGACAAGTGAACACAGGATAAAAATAATAATAATAACGTCAATGTACAATTAAATCAATACTTTTAACTGATAAGTGAACACAGAATGAAAAAAAATAACGCCAATGCACAATTAAATGAATACCTTTAACTGACAAGTGAACACAGAATAAAAAAAAAATAATAACGTCAATGCACAATTAAATTAATACCTTTAACTGATAAGTGAACACAGAATAAAAAATAACGTCAATGCACAATTAAATTAATACCTTTAACTGACAAGTGAACACAGAATAAAAAAAATAACGTCAATGCACAATTAGATTAATACTTTTAACTGACAAGTGAACACAAAATAAAAAAAAAATAACGCCAATGCACAATTAAATGAATACCTTTAACTGACAAGTGAACAGAATAAAAAAATAACGTCAATGCACAATTAAATTAATACCTTTAACTGATAAGTGAACACAGAATAAAAAAATAACGCCAGTGCACAATTAAATTAATACCTTTAACTGATAAGTGAACACAGAATAAAAAAAAATAACGCCAATGCACAATTAAATTAATACCTTTAACTGACAAGTGAACACAGGATAAAAAAAAATAATAATAATAACGTCAATGAACAATTATATGATTAGATATTAGTATCTTTCTTTCGGGGGAGAAGAGGAGGAAGAAAGGTGGATGGGAAGGATTACGATGAAGATGAAGAATGTGTGAATGTAATGGCAAAATGGGATATAGTGAAGGAGAAGAAATCATCAATATCATTATCATCTTTTCCTTCTTTTTCTTTCTTTCTTCTTTTTTTCTTATTTTTCTTTCTTATTTTTCTTTCTTCTTCTTCTTCTTCCTTTTCTTCTTTTTCTTTCTTCTTTTTTCTTTCTTCTTCTTCTTCTTCCATTTCTTCTTTTCTTTCTTCTTTTTCTTTTTTTCTTCCTTTTCTTCTTTTCTTCTTCTTTTCTTCTTCTTCTTCTTCCTTTTCTTCTTCCGCTTCCTCCTCTTCTTCTTTATATTCTTGGTATTCTGCATATTCTTATTATCATCACCATTGTCTAAATAACAATAACGATCATAAGAGGTAGACACCAGTACAAATACACACACACACACACACACACAGACACACACACACACACTCACAACACACACACACACACACACACACACACACACACACACACTCACACACACACACAACACACACACTCACACACACACACACACACAACACACACACACACACACACACACACACACACACACACACACACACACACACACACACACACACACACACACACACACACACACACACACACACACACACACAGATATAGATAGATAGATAGATAGATAATAAACATACAAATACACATCCTATCGCATCCCGCCATAATGATATGTAGAGACAATTTTTACATACAATTGGACATGACTGCAATGTCTCCCTTCCTCATTTTCCGCCATTTAATCGATCCTGTCAGCTGGATTGCTCGTCTGAATCAACGGAAAGCAAAAGGGAAAAAGAAAAAAAAAAATGAGAAAAGAAAATGCCGACAGTAATATGACGTTTAACCGTTTTCCGAATTCAAATTTCAATAACGGTCGCCATGATTCTGTTCGGGGTCTGTCGTCTTTCTTTCTTTCTTTCTCTTTCTCTTTCTTTCTTTGTCTGTCTTTCTTTTTGTTTTACTATTTGTTCTTTCTCTCTCTCTTTATCTTTCTTTCTCTCTCTTTTTCTTTTCTTTCTCTTTTCTCTTTTCTCTCTTTCTCTTTCTCTTTCTCTTTCTCTCTCTCTCTCTCTCTCTCTCTCTCTCTCTCTCTCTCTCTCTCTCTCTCTCTCTCTCTCTCTCTCTCTCTCTCTCTCTCTCTCTCTCTCTCTCTCTCTCTCGCTCTCGACGGTCTTTTATTTTTTTATTATTGTTTTTTTCATTCACCACTATATAGTGATTATTATTACCGTTACCATTATTATTGTTGTTTTGCTTTATCATTATCATTATTATTTTTCGTCATTATCATCATTATCATTATTATTTTTCGTCATTATCATCATTATCATTATCATTTTTATATTTCTATCATTATTATTTCTATTATCATCATTATTAGTACTATTACTATTTTCAGTGCAATTTTCATCATAATTATCATCTTCATCCTCATAATCAACGTCATCATCACCATTATTATCATCATTATTATCGCCATCATCGTCATACTCGTACTATCATTATTATCTTTAGTATCATTATTACTGGCATTATATTTGGCAATGTCACTCTCTTCATACCTTCCACAATGTCATTATCATACCTGTAGTCATTTTCATTATCATTAATTATCACCTCTAATTGCAATACAATTATCCTTACCACTACTACCACAAATGCAACTTTCATTTTTACTACTTTTTATCCGTAGCATTTAACATTGTTGATAGTAAAGGTATCATTAATAATAATTAGTATTAATGATAATTAGTATTAACAAAATCGGTAATCAATGTTGCTATTTTCTATTACTACTATTACTACTAGTGTCTGTTAGTCTTCGCTGCAATGTGTGTCTGTTAGTAGAGATGTGTTGGCATGTGCGTTCTGTATAATAATAATGATAATAATAATAATAATAATAATAATAATAATAATGATGATAATAATAATAATGATAATAATAATAATAATAATATAATAATGATAATATTAATAATAATAATAATAATAATAATAATAATAATAATAATAATAATAATAATAATGATGATGATAATAATAATAATAATAATGATAATGATAATAATTTAGGGTTTGCTGTGACAGGCTCTTGTGACATCAGCCAAATTGTGGCTTGTCTGTTTATTATGTTTCTAAACTACCCCCTGTGAGCGAGGAATGGCCGGGGTGACCATCCACTGGCAGTGCGCGGGAATCATTATTATTTCTATTATCATCATTTTTATTACTTTTACTATTTTCAGTACCATTTTCATCATAATTATCATCTTCA